TCTTCGATTTGCTTACCCTATCACCTTCACAAATTTACTCATCACTTATTTGAAATAGCATAATACTTATAATCTCACAATAATCTCATTCCCGAACTTATGTCGATTAACTTACGACGAAACTTTATCATACGAAAATGTGGGATGTAACATCTCATTTTCGAGCTTCAATTAATTTATTTATGGCGCACCTTCACGTACAAAAAGATGGGGTGTAACATATTACTTCATTGCTAATTGTAAATCAATAATTTTTCCGCCGTTCATCTTACATTGATGTTCTTTCCATTGTTAGCTTAGGTATATCTTGAACAGGTTTCTATGTATAGTAGGTATTTTGACCTGACATCATCACTACTCTATCGAGGTTTGGCTTGATACTTATTGGGAACAATTGTGGTGCAATCATGCTACACTTTTGCATATTTTTATGCAGATCCAGGTATTTTGAATGTGTTGTTGAGAGTTGCGTCGGCACGGCAGGAGACTTCAAGGTATACCTGCTTGACGTTCACAGGCCTCAGAGTCACCATCAAACTTCATTATGCTACTGTTAAATTGTAATTCAAAACAGTATTATGTTTAGAAATTCTAGTATGTTTCAGTAGTGCTTTTGACTCCGTACTACCGATTTTGGAAAATGTATAACTATTGGCCGCTTGCGGATGTGTATAGCATTTTATGGTTTATGATAAATGATTCAACAGTTCAATTATGTTATTAAATCATCATGTGTTAGGCTTACCTAGTCTTAGAGACTAGATACTATCACGACATCTTAAGGTGGGAAATTAGGGTTGTGACAGAAAGATCTTGAACCGGAGCACTAGGAATGGATTTACGGTTAGAATATGGATACACCTAATCGCCTTGCTTGGTTACTATACGAAAATTATTAATGCTTTCTTGTTAATCCTAATTTCATAGAAATATAGGTGTTAGGATAGCTTGAATTGTCACGACCTAGAATCTCCACCATCGGAACCGTGATGGGGCCTAACATTACACTTGCTAGGCAAGACAACGTTAGAGATTTATTATCCAAACCTTTTATGTTTCAGTGATTACAAATAAGCAAGCTATAAAATGAATGCGGAAGTAAATAAATAACAACTTTGATTATATACTATTGCTACCCAGAATCCGGAGTCACAATTCATGAACATTCTCAGATTTTACTACCAGTATTTGTCCGAAAGAAAATACAACAATTTGCGAAATAAAGAAAATAGTAAAGTATTGGGTATAGAATGGGACGCCAGGGCCTGCAGACGCCAACATGACTACCTTGGGTCTCCTAGCAAGTGAATCCTACAGCCAACCTCTCGATCAGCCCGAACCTGCTCCAAAATTTGCATAGGAAGTGCAGAGTGCAGTATCAGTACAACCGGCCCCATGTACTGGTAAGTGCCGAGCCTATCCTCGACGAAGGAGCGACGAGGCTACGGCGGGAAACTCATAATATAATCTACATGCAGTATATAATAAAGGCGGAAAGGAAAATATAATAAATTGAAACAATAACTTGCAAGAAGTAATTACAGCTCTCAAAGTATTTCATCAGTGTTCAGCTACTACCAATCCCTTAAGTGCAATTAAAGACTACCGTATAGCGAACACAGTCAAGGAAAATTATAAACACATAGGTTGTTGCGGCGTGTAACCCGTTCCCACCGTACATATCATATCCCTCCCTTATTTTCCTCTTATTAACATAAACAACAGAATATAAATAAAAGTGTTGCGGCATGCAACCCGATCCCATCATATCACAATAATCACAATCAAGTTCACCCTTATTACACCACCATCCACCCTTATTACACCTATTGCGGTGAGCAATCAGATCCTACCGTACATATCATTTCACCCTTATTCCTCCTCAATATATCACCCTTATTCTACCTATTGAGGCACGCAACCCGATACCACCATATCAGTATCAGTTATTCAGTATATACATAAATTTCACAGTTCAAATCACATAACCCTTCACAAGGCTTAACTTCAAACCAAAACAATTAGGAAGCTTGTACACTATGAAACTTTACACAAGTAATGCTGCTCAGCGAGACCAATCCAGAATATACCATGAAAGTATCGATAACCAGCTTAAGTAAATAATAGGAGACAACAAAGCTATGAAATAACTAATACCCTCAACAAAGAGAAGAAATGTCTAACAAGTAACAATTAAGCATGGAAATACATGTAAAGCATGTAACAATTACGATAGGGAAAAGGACAATATGAGAAGAACGGGAAGAAACAGGCAAAAACAGATAAATTGGCGGCGCATAAGTATTCGTCACCTCACATATATACCGCACACATGAGTTACATATAGCAAATAAGTAAGGGTTCCAAATCCTCGAGTTAAGGTTAGACCCAACACTTACCTCGCTCCACGAGCCACTCAATGCTCAATTACCACTTTTCCTCTAGTATACACCTCCAAACCATTCGTATCTAGCGACAATTAACTCAATAACATCAAATATCGCTAAAGGAATCAATTACAATGCATAAATTTTGATTTTTTCAAACGTTCCCCCAAAAAGTCAAAAGTTGACCCCGGGCCCGCTTTGTCAGAACTCGAGGTTCAGACCAAAACCCATTCACCTATTCATCCCCGACCCTGATTATGTAATTAGTTTTGAAATCCTACCCAAACCCCAATTTCTATCATGAAAATCCTATATTTTGGATTGGGAATTCATGAAATGTGATTGGAAATAAAAAAAAGTGAGTTAGGATCACTTACCAAAGTTTTTGGGAAGAATTGGTCTTGAAAGAATCGCCTCTAGGGCTCTAGGATTTCAAACTTTGGAAATGAATCAAAAATCACGTCTAAGTCTCTTTTCATCAGCAACAGATATCGCATTTGCAACCTGGGCTTTCCAAATGCGAAGCCTGCAAATGCGAAGGAAGCATCGCAAAATGCGAACCCCTTCTCATTTCTACATAGTTCGCAATTGCAAGGAAACGTTCGCAAATGCGAACACTAGATGACCGCAAATGCGACACAATCATCGCAATTACGAAGGCTACCCTCCCCGGACCACCTTTGCAAATGCGAAGTTTGTTTTGCAATTGTGAAACCTGTGTGGCCCAGCTCATCTTCGCATTTGCGATGAGATGCTCGCAAATGCAAATCTCTCAGAGATTGCAATTGCGATGCCTGATCTTGCAAATGCGAGATCAGAGGCCTGCAACAAGATCAGTTACACCAGCAAAATTTTTTCCAAGTTGAAATTACTCCGTAGCCTATCCGAAACTCACCCGAGCCCTTGGAGCTCCAAACCAAATATGAACACAAGTCTAAAAACAACATACAAACTTGCTCGCACAATCAAATCACCAAAATAACACTTAAAACTACGAATTGAACCCCAAATCACATGAAATTTTCAAGAAAACTTTGAAATTTCTTTTTTCATAACCGGACGTCCGAATCACATCAAGTCAACTCCGTTGTTCATCAAATTTCACAGATAAGTCATAATTTGGTATTGGACTTATACCGTATTCCTGAACCAAAATACAAACCCGATATCCTAAAAGTCAAACCCTGGTCAAACATCTCTATTTCATTAAGACTTAGACTTTCAAATTTCGACAAAGTCCGATATCTCAGGCTAGGGACTTCTGATTTCGATTTCGGGCATACGTCCAAGTCCCAAATCACGATACGGACCCGCTGAGACCGTCAAAACATGGATCCGGGCCCGTTTACCAAAAATATTGACCAAAGTCAATCCAAATGAAGTTTTTATGTAAAATTTCTTATTTTTTTATCAACTTTTAACATAAAAGCTTTCCGGAAACATGTTCGGACTGTGCACGCAAATTGAGAAGGGTAAAATTGAGATTTTTAAGGCTTATAAGCGCAAAATTAAGTTCTAAAACATAAGATGACCTTTCGGGTCATCACATGAATAAGCGAGTAGTACTTTGGGAGAATACTACGAGTAATATTAACTTTGTCAATTAATAAATCGGATAAATTAACTAGACAATTTAAGTGAAAAAACTAAATAGGATTATTAGCTAACCCATAGCTCTAGAACATTCTCCCATTGGACTCATCTCTAAGATTGTCGACTTGTTTTCTTTAATCTCTTACTTTGCAATTCTAGATTAGTTTTAGTTAAATATTCACACTTTAGAAAATCGCTTGAATAGATTAATTGTCTTAGTTTAATTTAGTAATTAGTTAATTACAAGTCCATGTGTGTACGATATCTAGACTTATAATCCTATATTACTTGTACGACCACGTATACTTGCATGTGCATTTTGGAGCAACATGAGACTACCGAGTCCTCTCGAGACCGAGTACGTTGAGTCCTGTTGAGACCGGCTACAGTTAGAAGAAACTTATATTGCTTGACTTAGTTAGCGGGTTGGGTTAGGTGTCAATCATGACGTCGTGGGTTTTTTCGATCGTGGCACTATAGTCTTCCATTAATTAATTTTAAGTCAGAAAACAGATCAAAAGTATGATAACTAAAATATACTTTAATAGGAAACGGTATAGAAATATATATTTAGAGGGCACCTGACGCCTTTTTCCATGTACAAATTCCAAAACGATGAAAAAGAATTAGGCTGAAGAGGAAAAGATTCCAAAACAATGAACACATCGAATTGGCTGAAGAGGCAGAGTCAGTATATAAATAGGCGAGCAGTATCCCAACAGCTCAAACCATTTCCATTGCATCACAACTCAGAGTGCCTTTTTCTCTCAAAACTTAATTC